ATTTTTTTGATAATCGCTCTATATCTTATTTAACAGTACAGAAAAATGTATCACCTGTACATAGTTTAATAAACGACGATTCATTGGATAAATTTTTACGCGTGATAAAAGATAAATCTCACTTTGAAACACAAAGTGTGTTATATGTGGAATATCCTCATTTAATTGAAGCAAGTCGTAGCGACAAAAGCTTACAAATTATTGGAGGAAATTGCAGTAATCACTGGCGATGTATATTTTTTGACGGCACCATGCTTCGAGTGTACGACAGTTTACCCGATTGTACATACAACAAATTGGTGCCTAAAGAAAAAAATTACATTCATCGTCGTTATCCACAAATAAGTGCAAGTAATATAATATTTGAAAAGGTTCACGTACAACCTGATAGCACTTCTTGTGGAATTTATGCTGCAGCTTTCGCTACAACTGTTGCCTTAGGAGGAAATCCTTGTAATGAGAGATATTCCAATCGCGTGAAATATATGAGACAACATTTTCTTCATATTATAATAGAAAACGAATTGTCGCCTTTTCCTAACTTTTAATATTATTGAAAAGAAAATGCCTAAATGCAACTGATTTGTTTGCAATTGGAGAGACGAAAATACATATACAGCGTGTCCCATTTTAATCCATCCAGGCAAATATCTCGAAAACCAAGTCCGAGAGAGAAAAATGTTTCAGACAAAAGTTGTATGGTTTTAAGGGGGCCATAAGATGGTATCATTGGTTTGACCTTGAAGAGTCATTTGAAGATTACGCCAAGATCACTTTAATTTTTTTAAATAAAACACCCTATATATTTTTATATATTCTTGTAGCTCATCTCGAGATCTTTCCAAAACACTATAATAAAGTATTTCTTGGTTGAATACTTTTCGATTTATGAGGCTTGAAATAATTTCTTAATTTTACATAAACCATAAAATGTCTAGTAAAATATTCATTTTTCGATTATCTTACCTTAATATTTTTATGTACAAAATAATGAAAGGAATTAATTGGTGTAAAGAAAACATACAGTTGTTTTTAAAAAAAGATATGGAATTGTTAATTGCAAATTACATATTTTTTCTTTCAAACAATTATGTGTTTTCTTTACACCAATTGATTCCTCTCATTATTTTGTACATAAAAGCATTAAGGTAAGATAATCGAAAAATGAATATTTTACTAGACATTTTATGGTTTATGTAAAATTAAGAAATTACTTCAAGTCTCATAACTCGAAAAGTGCTCGATGAAGAAATATTTTATTATAGTGTTTTGGAAAGCTCTCGAGATGAGCTATAAGAATATGCAAAAATATATAGAGTGTTCCATTAAAAAAAATTGAAGTAACCTTCGCATAACCTTCAAATAACTTTTCAAGGTCAAACCAATGGTATCCTCTTATGGGACTTTTGAAACCATACAACTTTCGTCTGAAACATTTTTCTCTCTCGGGCTTGGTTTTCGAGATATTTGCCTGGATGGATTAAAATGGGACACCCTGTATATTGTGGTTGCGTTCTCACGGGAATGGGCCCATTCTATATTTCCAAAATTTTGTTATATTTTATAATATATTTTATTATTTTTGAGATATAAAAAATGTATGTGAATATTTTATATTTATACATTTTATATAGTTTTATATAAATATTATTGTATATAAATATAGTTTCATATAAATATATACAACAATACGTAAACTATAGATTACCAGTACTAACAGTAAATGTGCATATGAATGTAAATGAAGATAAATCAATAGAAAATATGTGATGTCTAATTGGCCGATATTCCTAGTTGAATCTTATGTTTGACCGTCTCATTTAACCAATGCTGCAATGAAATAATGCGGCCATTTCATTGAATGAGATCACAATCTCAAATATAAGATCGGACTATGAATAGCATCCATTGAACATATTGAGAAAATGTTTATTGCGACATCTGTCGAGCAATGTCGATAATATATATTACAGAAATTATTATTATCGATCCTATCGGAGTTCGGCTATCGCTCCAGCATCCCCTTAATTGCACAAGTTACCTTTTTGTATCATAAGAGTTAAATCGATTGGATTTTGTTTCGACAGAACTGTAGAACGTAAGAAATTGACATTTTCAAATACAATTGGTACATCGAGATAATTTTGCTTTTCTAACCAGCCGATCATTTGCCATATCAGAAAAAGATATCCTGTAGTCGGTAATAAATTTTTTCTATTAACGACATGCCCAGTCATATATGAAAATTCTTCCTCGAGTAAATTAATGGTAACAATTACTTCCCCAATATCAAGTTTTGTTTGTCCGAAATAATGACATACATACCAATCTTCGGAATGATCCCATCTGTAAAACGTGTTATTAATTTAAAAATATGTAAAACATTAGCTTTATTAGCGTTTAATGTCGTTAAAAATAATGCAAATTTAATTTTCTGTTTTTTTCTGTTTTTTTTTCTGCTATTTTTTGTAATAAACATAACGTTGAAGAATCTTATGTTACGTTAAACAAAATTTACCTTATAAGATGAGAAATCATTGATGTATTACGACTCACAGGAAACTTAACTTTCGGATATAATTTTGCGATTTGCAGCTGTAATCCTGCATTATAAAGTTTTCCAATTCCGTTCCTTTTATGCACAGGATAATGAGACAAAACTATTGGTACAAAGAAAACGCATGATTGTTTATAACAAAAAGTGCATTGCAAATTACACATTTTTTATTATAAACAATCATACGTTTTCTTTGCACCAATAGTTTTGTCTCATTATCCTGTGCATAAAAGTATTAGGGTAAGACTACCGAAAACTAAATATTTTACGAGATATTTTGCATTTTATATCGAAGTACTGCAAACTTTGAAGCCTTATAACTCAAAAAGTACTTAATGAAAAAACATTTGTCTGTAGTGTTTTGGAAAGCTCTCGAGATAAGCTACAAGAATATGTAATGAAAAATAGTGGGTTCAATTTAAGAAATTGAAGGTGACTTTTATGTGACCTTCAAATGACTTTCCAAGGTCAAACCAATGCTACCATCTTATGTCCCCCTTCACACCCTACAATTTTTGTTTGAAACATTTCTTTCTGAAGAGTGCTGTTTTCAAGATATTCGAGTGCATCGATTAAAATGGCCCACCGTGTATATTCTACATCTACTGCCCGATTCTGTATCTATAAATATATACTTATTTATTTATTTATTTATTTATAGACGGGATAATTAAGTCCCATTAGTACATATACGAGGTGTGTTCAAAAAAAAGGTGACTTTTCAAATTTCGCGGGCTACGTACATTCGATTTTGGAATTTTTTTTTGTTATGTTGGTACACATGTCCCCAACATATGTTGACATTATCAGCTGTTTTGCATGTTTGGTTTGTTTTTCACAGATATAAGGGTTAGACGTGTTTTGGTGTGTTTGGCGATGGATCAAAAAATCTGTATTAAATTTTGTGTGAAAAATAAAATTAAGTGCTCTGACGTACTTGAAATGTTGACTGCGGCATTTGGCGAGTCTACTCTGAGCAAAAAAAATGTTTACAAGTGGTACAAGCTCTTCACAGAAGGTTGAGAAGATGTTAATGACGATGCCCGCTCTGGACGCCCCAGCACCTCAACAACCGATGACAACGTCGAAGCAATGAAGAAAATTGTTATGGAGAAAATTGTTATCGTCGAATCACTATTAGAGAAGTTGCTGAGGATGTCGGCATATCGGTTGGCTTATGCCATGCAATTTTTTCGGGTGTTTTGGGCATGCAACATGTGGCAGCGAAGTTTGTTCCGAAATTGCCAGCTCACACGTCGTTGCTTGTTCATGATTTTTTGGCCAAAGTCAACACCGTAACCATGCCTCAGCCACCGTATTCATCGGACTTGGCCCCCTGCGACTTTTTCTTGTTCCCAAAACTGAAAAGACCCATGAAAGGACGGAGATTTGCCACGATTGAGGAGATAAAGACCGCTGGAAGAACTCGAGACCATACCAAAAAGCGCATATCAAAAGTGCTTCGAGGATTGGAAAAAGCGCTGGCACAAGTGTATAATATCTGAGGGGGATTACTTTGAAGGGGACAAAATAGATATTGATGAACAAATAAATATTTTTCGAGAAAAATAAAAAGTCACCTTTTTTTTGAACACACCTCTTACATTACAATTTTTTTACAGCGGAAGGGCTAGTATAAACATTTGGATAGAGAGCATCTAAATTTGTTAAGAGAGCCGTGAAAAAAATCAATTCGATTAGATATTTCGTTAGACAATAGGCATATTCGGTTAAGGGGTTTAAATCTGCCATAGGAGATACGGTGCGACTCCTCATGAAAGATAGAGTTAACTCTCAATGATTTGACAGGGGCGTGCAGTCCAATACGGTCAGTAAGATCAGGACAGGTTATATACCCATTAATTAATTTAAAGAGAAGTAGGATATCAAAAAATCTCCTTCTATTTTCCAGTGTTTCGAGATTAAGCAAATTCATTATTCAAACATAATTATGGTCCGAATAGTGCATAGGATTGTCCGTGAGAAAACTGACTCTCCGAAGAAAGCGGTGTTGAATGCTTTCAATCATTAAGCAATACTATGTTTGATATGGAGCCCACACCGTAACAGCATATTTAAGGTGTGGTCTAACCAAAGCGCAAAACAGTAACCTTAGTGTGGAGATATTATGAAAATATTTACATGAACGCATGAAGCCTAGTTTTCTGTATGCACGATTCACCAATGTCTGAATATGGAGTTCAAAAAACAGGTTCGAGCAAAAGATAACCCCTAGGTCACGAATGGAGTCAGCCGAGAGGGACTCCGTTTAAAAAATACACGTGCTTGTTTATATATCTTTTGCGGGTGAAGTGAATCACTTGGCATTTAGTTAAGTTAAAGCGCAAGCAATTCTCAGAATATCAATGATCAAGTAGATATCGGTAGAGATCAGACTGCAGAAGCCGCGCATCATCGGAGGTTGTAACACGGCCGAAAATTTTCAAGTCATCTGCGTATAACAGAAAATTACAGTTCTCAAATACATTCTTAATATCATTAATAAATATATTAAATAAGAGCGGTCCCAAGTGCGAGCCTTGAGGCATCCCCGAAGAAGCAAGAATGGTCCGAGAAAAGCAATTATTAAACTTAGCAACCTGCAGTCTATCCGTCACAAAATCCGATAACCATTTCAACCATAATCCGCCGATCCCAAATGCCTGCAATTTGCGTAATAATACGACGTGATCAACGTTGTCAAAAGCTTTCCAAAAGTTAGTGTATACCGCATCAATTTGTGAGCTCTCCTCAACGGCAGAAATTATAAAGTCATGGTAAATAAGTAGATTGGTTACAGTAGAGCGACCAGCCACAAAGCCGTGTTGCTCATCGATTAATGCATTTTTTGACAGTGCCGAGAGTTTTCCGGCAACAATGTTCTCGAAAATCTTTGGCATCGGGTTTTGTTTGCTTATCGATCTGTAGTTGGAGACTAAAGACCTATCACCATCTTTAAATACTGGAGTGACAATGGACAATTTCCACAAGCTCGGAAAAATACCGCACGACAAAGATCAACAAAATTTCTCAAAAATCAACCAGAGCACTCTCGACATTACAAAGTTACATGATGTAAGAAAAACTGGAAGAATGCCATCCGCACCCGGGGCAAAACCGTCACGCAGAGAATTAATGCTATTAAAAATGTCACCTATAGTGACATCGATGTTTAATATATTTAAGTCATGATTGTACCTCGACTTCCCAATACTGCTCCCATTACCAAGTGATTACACGGATTCAAAAAAGTTCGCAAAACAATTGGCAATCGCGGTACCGTCTTCAATAACACGGCCATTATGACAAATAAAAGGTGTTGACGACTTAAACAAGGACATGGAACTAATAAAGTTCCAAAATACTTTCACATTGCTAGAAATTGCATGTTCTGACCTCCGAATATAAACCTTCCAGCACTTCGACGAGAGAGAATTGCATCTGGCTCTTAACTGAGAGAATGCAAGATAGTCCGAGTAGCCCCATAAAACATTAAAATATACTTAGTATATACAGTGTATGTACATTTATGAGTAGTATAACAAGGAGAGTTCTAATCCAGGACTTCTCAGGGGGGGTGAGGCGCGAGGGGGAACCGCGGTGCGGGGGGAGTGACGTCACGCGCGGGGAAGGAGGAACCGCGGCGCGCGGAGGGTGACGTCACCCGCGGGGAAGGGGGATCAGCGGCGCGAGCGATGGACGAGGGGGTCCGCGAGGTGAAGGGGGATCCGCGGCGCGAGCGATGGGCGAGGGGGTCCGCGAGGTGAAGGGGGATCCGCGGCGCGAGCGATGGACGAGGGGGTCCGCGCAGTGAAGGGGGATCAGCGGCGCGAGAGATGGACGAGGGGGTCCGCGCGGTGAAGGGGGATCCGCGGCGCAACCGATGGACGGTGGTGTGAGAAGGACAGCGCTACGTATGAGAAAAGGACAGTGCAAAGTGTGAAGAGGACAGTGCTACGAGTGCAACAAGGATGGCGTTAACGTGGGAGAAGGACGACGCAAAGGTAAGTGAACAACGAGTATATGAAAGAGAGAGAACGATAGCGCCAAGACGACATGTACAAGAGAGAGAACGATAATATCGCGAGACTTGCAATTAGCGCGTGCGAGAGAAAACGATAGCGCGAAGACGACGCGTGCGAGAGAAAACGATAGCGCGAAGACGACGCGTGCGAGAGAGAACGATAATATCGCGAGACTTACAACTAGTGCGCGAGAGAGAGATAGCGCAAGGGACGGAACTCAAGGAGAGACGCGTAAATAATCACATTTTTTTATTGAAACAACATTTATTTTAAAATCTGTTATACATTTTTTCTGTGTCATAGCGCGAAAGATTACTTATTCTAAGCATGAGAGAAAGAGATAGACTTACAACTAGCGCGTGCGAGAGAGATTACTAATTCTAATCGTGAAAGATAGACTTAAGATTAACGCACGAGAGAGAACGATATCGCGATGCTTATAACTAACGCAGGGATGGGAACGCAAGGAGAGGCATACAAATAATTAGATTTTTTTTTTACGGATATAGAATATATAAAATTTATTAAAATGTGTACGTGATTTTATACATTTTGTGTGTGTGTGTGTGTGTGTGTATGTACTTAAAATTAAGATTAATAATAATAATATAATAATAATAATATAATAAAATAATAATATAATAATAATAATAATAATAATTTGGGGGTGCGGGGGGGGGTGGAGGGGCCAGGGGAGCCAGGTGAGGGGGCCGCTCCTGTAACAGAAAAAAGACACATCTCATTAGATTTTAATAATTTATTTTAGGATACTTTATAATATTGAAAGATACTTACAATGTTATTCATTTATTTAATATGTGCAAATGGGGCACATGTCACACGGCAGTATTAGAAGTAGAGATTTCCTGCACTCTTTGCATGACATATTATCTATGTTGCAATAAGCTGTGATTCTATGTAGCCGAACAGATGTAGCTTCCAGAAACATTTCCGATAGACTCAGAAAGCAATCGGCGCAATATCTCGATCCATTTTCCATGTAAAAATAGGAAATGCAACATATCTTCGTTGCCTCGCTCAATGTTAATATTTCGGGTAAGTCTAAATGTCGCTGTTTCTGTTGTACTAGTTCATCACCATCATCACTATTGTCACTATCGTAAGCACTGTCTGTCAAGGGTTCTATTTCAATATCAGACCCATCCTCATCTGCTAGATTGCCAATGTCCATATGGTTATCATCATCATCAATATCCATTTGATTATCTTCATCATCAATGATAATAATTTCTTCAATGTCCTCATCAGCGATAACATCTTCGTCTTCAATGTTGATGATGATTACATCTTCGTCTTTATCATCGATGAAAATTACATCTTCTTCGGCCATTGCACTAACGTAACACACAAGACTAACGAAACGCAAAGAACAACGAAATAATATTCTAATGTCGCAGACTCCTCTTCATTATATATCTTTTTAATATCTCGCGTCTCATTCCAACTAGAGCATCGCGTCTCATCTACCTCAGCATTTCTCTACATCTTTGGCGGAGCGTGTTGAGAAAAATTCTCGACTATTCTTATTCGTATGGAAGGAAAGAAATAAAATCATAGATTGAATAAAAATAATTATTTATTGCACGTATCGTAAAGAATATCATTTACAGCACATGTTAATAATTCGCAATCGATCAATGATTCACTGTCAAAGACATCACTCTCGCGTATCGTTTTTACAGCATCGCATACAGTAGTAATATTATTACGTTGTAATACAGTTTCAAATTGTTTAAATTTTTCATTTACGAGATACGTATTCTCGCATAACCAATTATGCATATGATCGATACAATTTTCAAAATTAAATAAATGTAATAATGTTTCTGGTTTCATGTACAACGAATTTTCGCATAATGCAAGTTTTACAATTTTCGATTGATACATTTCAATCGTTAAATCTCCAATTCTTAATGGGGGAGTAGTCGATTGTAGAAATTGTTCAACGTCTGCTTGCTTCCGCATCAACAAATTCCACGTTGAAAAGGACAATACTATTTGATTGCCTCAATTATCGCCGAGAATCAGTTCCACGTACGATACAGCTCCAACGCTTATTCCAACGTCCAAATACTTGTACGACGTCGGGGTTAGAGCGTACCTTCTTCCAAGTATGCGAGCCGCACGACGAGGCTGAATACTATAAAAATATAAATAATTATACAACAATATTAAAAATCAATAAGTAACAAATTTTTTAAACGATTTAAACTTACGTGTCGCATTTTTGCTTCTTACACGGTGGAGTTTCACCGTTTCGAATCGGAACGTAGAAATTCATATTTCTTCAGCGGTGAACCTTTCACACGCGCGATTGATGCAATACTGCAATCGTGTTAGAATCAATATCAATTCAAATAGTATCCCAAATTGTGATGTAGAGGGGATTATTGCTGACGCAACATTTTAATTTCCTCCAAAATTTTGTCGCGCCGATGTATGGCTGCGATGACATCATCATCTTCGGAACAAAGATTTAGCTGAAATTGCTAAAATCGAGCGCCGATGTATGGCTGCTCCTGATACAATCACGTCAAAATTATTCAAATGTACGTGACAAAACGGGAAATTTTCAAGGTTAAGATCTGCATCGAAACTAAGATTTAGCTGAATTTGCAAAAATCGAGCGCCGATGTACGGCTGCGCCTGATGCAATCACGTTAAAATTTTCAAATGTACGTGACAAATAGTGAAAAAATAATTGCCAAGGTTAAAATGTGTATCATCCCTAGACAAAGATTTAGCTGAATTTACTAAAATCGAGCGCCGATGTACGGCTGCGCCTGATGCAATCGCACCAAAATTATTCAAATGTACGTGACAAATAGTGAAAAAATAATTGCCAAGGTTAAAACATGCATCATCCCTAGACAAAGATTTAGCTGAAAGCGCTAAAATCGAGCGCCGATGTACGGTTGCCCCTGATGCAATCATGTTAGATTTTTCAAATGTACGTGACAAAACGTGAAATTATCAAGGCCAAATTGCACACGGTACTACGGGGAATTTTTTGTAAGATGAAATCGTTCTAGAATGTTCGATGATAAAACAATACATGAGACGGTATATAAATCATGATAGAGAGACGCACCCCACCAGTAGCTAAAGTGCATCAGACCTGTCATTAGAAACGCTAAATTTTGCAAGTGTACGTTAGCAATATGGAGGAGCAAATTTTGCGAGAACAATCCGCTTTGCTTGATTCATTGGAAAACTACATTGTGTGGGAGCAACGATGCGACGAGTACATCGAGTCGCTGGAAGAGCAAAGTCGAATCAAACGGCCGCGATTATCGATCGGATATCGACAATCACTGATTGCTCAGATCGCGCGCATCGAAGGTTTGAAAAATTCGGTACGTGGACGTTTCGTACACGGGGGTGCCGGATGTAGTGCGCGTCAAAATGCACTTGTGTGGCGCGAAATTGATACGGCGTTCGAGAGTCGCGTATCGACTGGTGCGGTGATAAACTATAATCACATTGAACCGCACCAATTTCTCGATGACGCTAAAGACATTGTGTTGGAGCATGTGCAGGACGCTTTAAAAAAACACAGCAGTGTAAAAGTGAACACTATATTCAATGGTGAATTTGTGTCGGGTGATAAACACGCGAATAAAAGTGTGAATACGAGAAACTATGAACTCTTTCGCACATCTGATTTACGCGAGTGGTACGAACGGCGCGTTATCGAGTCCACCCTAGCGTCTCTGGAAGAGTTTCAGGAACGCGATAGCGGGTGGGCATTGTCGCGAATACTGAACTTGACTGTAAATATAAACAAGTACAATCCCATGCGCGCGGGATGTCACATCAAGTTACCGCGGGAGATTATGATAAAGAGAGCGGTGGTTAACGTGCAATCAAAGGACAATGCGTGTTTCGCGTGGGCAGTGGTCGCCGCTCTGTATCCCGCCAAAAGTCATGCGGAACGGGAATCATCGTACCCGCATTACGCGACAGTGCTGAATCTCCGGGACATTGAGTTTCCAGTGACTGTGAATCAGATTAAGAAATTTGAACTTGCAAATAACATTTCAATCAATGTGTACGACATCGAAGACAAAAACATTGTCCCGATACGTCTTTCGCAGCAGAAACGGGATAAGCATGTGAATCTGCTGTACACTGAAGACGGCAACAGCGTGGGACATTTCGCTTGGATCAAGAATTTATCCAGGCTCGTGAGCTCGCAATTGAGCAAACACAATGGCCAAAGATATATCTGTGATCGGTAAGTTTATTTTATATT